GTAGGGTGTCTGATGGTGGTGTGGTGTCTGATAGTGGTAGGGTGTCTGATGCTGGTGTGTTTTTTGATGGTGGTGTCTGATGGTGGTGTGGTGTCTGATGGTGGTGTGGTGTCTGATGGTGGTGTGGTGTCTGATGGTGGTGTCTGCTGGTGGTGTGGTGTCTGATAGTGGTGTTTGATGGTGGTGTCTGATGGTGGTGTGGTGTTTGATGGTGGTGTCTGATGGTGGTGTGGTGTCTGATGGTGGTGTTTGATGGTGGTGTGGTGTCTGATGGTGGTGTGGTGTCTGATGGTGGTGTCTGATGGTGGTGTCTGATGGTGGTGTGGTGTTTGATGGTGGTGTCTGATGGTGGTGTGGTGTCTGATGGTGGTGTAGTGTCTGATGGTTGTGTCTGGTGGTGGTGTAGTGTCTGATGGTGGTGTGGTGTCTGAAGGTGGTGTCTGATGGTGGTGTGGTGTCTGATGGTGGTGTCTGGTGGTGGTGTGGTGTTTGATGGTGGTGTCTGATGGTGGTGTGGTGTCTGATAGTGGTGTCTGATGGTGGTGTGGTGTTTGATGGTGGTGTCTGATGGTGGTGTGGTGTCTGATGGTGGTAGGGTGTCTGATGGTGGTGTGGTGTTTGATGGTGGTGTCTGATGGTGGTAGGGTGTCTGATGGTGGTGTGGTGTCTGATGGTGGTGTGGTGTTTGATGGTGGTGTCTGATGGTGGTGTGGTGTCTGATGGTGGTGTTTGATGGTGGTGTCTGATGGTGGTGTGGTATCTGATGGTGGTAGGGTGTCTGATGGTGGTGTGGTGTTTGATGGTGGTGTTTGATGGTGGTGTCTGATGGTGGTGTGGTGTCTGAAGGTGGTGTGGTGTCTGATGGTGGTGTCTGGTGATGTGGTGTCTGATGGTGGTGTGGTGTCTGATGGTGGTGTCTGATGGTGGTGTGGTGTTTGATGGCGGTGTCTGATGGTGGTGTCTGATGGTGGTGTGGTGTTTGATGGTGGTGTCTGATGGTGGTGTGGTGTCTGATGGTGGTATGGTGTCTGATGGTGGTGTGGTGTCTGATGGTGGTAGGGTGTCTGATGGTGGTGTGGTGTTTGATGGTGGTGTCTGATGGTGGTGTGGTGTCTGATGGTGGTGTGGTGTCTGATGGTGGTGTGGTGTCTGATGGTGGTGTGGTGTTTGATGGTGGTGTCTGATGGTGGTGTGGTGTTTGATGGTGGTGTCTGATGGTGGTGTGGTGTCTGATGGTGGTGTGGTGTCTGATGGTGGTAGGGTGTCTGATGGTGGTGTGGTGTTTGATGGTGTGGTGTCTGATGGTGGTGTGGTGTTTGATGCTGGTGTGGTGTCTGATGGTGGTGTGGTGTCTGATGGTGGTGTGGTGTCTGATGGTGGTGTCTGATGGTGGTGTGGTGTCTGATGGTGGTGTGGTGTCTGATAGTGGTGTTTGATGGTGGTGTCTGATGGTGGTGTCTGATGGTGGTGTGGTGTTTGATGGTGGTGTGGTGTCTGATGGTGGTGTGGTGTTTGATGGTGGTGTCTGATGGTGGTGTGGTGTCTGATGGTGGTGTGGTGTTTGATGCTGGTGTGGTGTCTGATGGTGGTGTGGTGTCTGATGGTGGTGTGGTGTCTGATGGTGGTGTCTGATGGTGGTGTGGTGTCTGATGGTGGTGTCTGATGGTGGTGTGGTGTTTGATGGTGGTGTCTGATGGTGGTGTGGTGTCTGATGGTGGTGTCTGATGGTGGTGTGGTGTTTGATGGTGGTGTTTGATGGTGGTGTGGTGTCTGATGGTGGTAGGGTGTCTGATGGTGGTGTGGTGTCTGATGGTGGTGTCTGATGGTGGTGTGGTGTTTGATGGTGGTGTCTGATGGTGGTGTGGTGTCTGATGGTGGTAGGGTGTCTGATGGTGGTGTGGTGTTTGATGGTGGTGTCTGATGGTGGTGTGGTGTTTGGTGGTGTCTGATGGTGGTGTGGTGTCTGATGGTGGTGTGGTGTTTGGTGGTGTCTGATGGTGGTGTGGTGTCTGATGGTGGTTTGGTGTCTGATGGTGGTAGGGTGTCTGATGGTGGTGTGGTGTCTAATGGTGGTAGGGTGTCTGATGGTGGTGTGGTGTTTGATGGTGGTGTCTGATGGTGGTGTCTGATGGTGGTGTGGTGTTTGGTGGTGTCTGATGGTGGTGTGGTGTCTGATGGTGGTGTGGTGTCTGATGGTGGTGTGGTGTCTGATGGTGGTGTGGTGTCTGATGGTGGTGGTGTTTTGGTGGTGTGGTGTCTGATGGTGGTGTGGTGTCTGATGGTGGTGTCTGATGGTGGTGTGGTGTCTGATGGTGGTGTGGTGTTTGATGGTGGTGTGGTGTCTGATAGTGGTGTGGTGTTTGATGGTGGTGTCTGATGGTGGTGTGGTGTCTGATGGTGGTGTGGTGTTTGATGGTGGTGTCTGATGGTGGTGTGGTGTTTGATGGTGGTGTGGTGTCTGATGGTGGTGTGGTGTCTGATGGTGGTGTGGTGTCTGATGGTGGTGTGGTGTCTGATGGTGGTGTGGTGTCTGATGGTGGTGGTGTTTTGGTGGTGTGGTGTCTGATGGTGGTGTGGTGTCTGATGGTGGTGTCTGATGGTGGTGTGGTGTCTGATGGTGGTGTGGTGTTTGATGGTGGTGTGGTGTCTGATAGTGGTGTGGTGTTTGATGGTGGTGTCTGATGGTGGTGTGGTGTCTGATGGTGGTGTGGTGTCTGATGGTGGTGTGGTGTCTGATGGTGGTGTCTGATGGTGGTGTGGTGTCTGATGGTTGTGTCTGATGGTGGTGTGGTGTCTGATGGTGGTGTCTGATGGTGGTGTGGTGTTTTGGTGGTGTGGTGTTTGATGGTGGTGTGGTGTCTGATGGTAGTGTGGTGACATTTTGTGGTAACAAATATAGTGATAAGGATGAGATACCAAGTCTAGCTAAAATCAAATAAAAACTGTCAACAGAATGGTAACATTAGTTTTAAGCACTGCATTCTATTGTTAGTTATATTAGCCATGGAGCAGGTAAACATTGTGATATTAGTAACGGAGAAGGTAAACATTGTGATATTAGTAACGGAGAAGGTAAACATTGTGATATTAGTCACGGAGAAGGTAAACATTGTGATATTAGTAACGGAGAAGGTAAATATTATCAACTAGGGAAGGAGATCAGTGGTAGGATTTGACAGCCAAAGTTTGTTTACTGCACGAATCAGGGTATACGTCTTGTCTGCTGTTGTTTTAGAAAGTTGGTCGATCAATGTTTCTTCCTGACTTTTTTCTCGGGGGGGGGCACTTCAAATTTGGGGGGGGGGGGGGGGCGGACACTGTTAAAAGTATATATTTTCTATATAAATTATATAAATTTCATTTCGTTCGTGATCGATGTAGCATGCATCGACACGCTATTTTTTTATTAACTGAAATACGAATCGAATTAAATAAAATTATACATTTTGACGGTTCAGCTTTAGAGATAATCGTTTCATTAGTTAAAAACTTTTTTTTCTGATAGTGATCTCCCCGTAATTTCAAATTTAAACAGTAAAGTCTTTCTAAAGTGCTTGTTCAGTGCGGTAAAACAAACGGCCATTTTGGCTCTTTTTTTATTCGTGGCTATCGAGGAAAGCGATAGTTTAAAAAATAAATTGTTTGTTTGCCCCGTTATAAAGTGTATATTACATGTTGTGATATTAATCGGAATGAGGGAGGGCGTGGTCAAATAATAAAGCTCACACCTGCTAATCTTAGAGTCCATGTTCGGATCCAGGGCTGGAGTTTGTAGGTCGTCACAGAGTCCATCCAGCTCTATTGGGTACCTAGCTCACGCTTGGGAAGGTGGCTGGGCATAGTGCCGACCATACTATCCCCCTGTATGCAGTGGTCGTTGAAAAAGATGAACTTATCTGCCCATTGTGTCTTGGGCACAAAAACAGGCACTAGCGCAAGAAAGCTTCTATATTCTCTATATAAAGTTGGCTTTCACTTTAAAACATCTCTTATAAAGCTATATGATTAGTTAAGGAGGCGGCGGTATGTAGTCCTGGCCTACTGTATCGAGAAAATGTAACAACATGCAACGCTTTCCACAGATTTTCACCGTACCTACTACCTACCCCATCGTCACAGTCAAGTAACGTCATTCCATTCACTAGACAGTAGACAGCATGTTTTTAAATTGTTTTTTTAAAAAAGAAATTTAGTTAAACATAAATTAAACTTGGGCAGGAGAATGCAATAATATCACATCATTAATGTCACTAATCACATTTACATACAAAAAAGTGTTTCTTCAACTACCTCTAATGACCTAGCGGTTTGTGATCCACAATTCTACATTATAACAATTTGCTAGATCGTAGATCTACTAGGCTACCGACTAAATTAAAGCTTTTGGATATTGGGTGACCTATTTTACTAAGGCATTTAAATTTAAAATCAACTGCCCTAGAGCAGCCTATAGATAATGTTCCCTTTTAAGTTTTACTAAGGAGACTAAAGTACGCAGTTATCAAAAGAATGCGCGGCAAATTTGCTTGAATGGTTCGTCAATGCAGGCCTAAATTTGAATATCTCTTTAGACAAGCATTTATTTTGTGTTAAAAAGTTCGCACTCGTAGATCAATGTAGAATCTAAATTGTTTAAAAAATGCGAAAGGGCTGCTTTAGAAACTACGCAAAGCCTTCGTTTTAGATATATTTAACACCAAATTAAAAAAAAAAAACCTAATTAAATATAGAATCTAGAAATCTAGATCTTTTAGGTTTAGTGTAGTTGATGCAGTTTTAAATTTTGTCGTCTACTTTTTAAATATTTACTTTTGATTTGTTTTCAATTGACTATTTAACGAATATTTTTTTTTAAGCTTAGTGTTTAAAATGTAAACTAGCTTTATTCGCACATTCTTTTAGCGATATGGATAACAATATCATTGAAAAAAAATTAATGTAGATCTAGATCTAGAAATCGAAAAATTTGTTTCATTTGTTGTGAAAGGAATTTCAACCGAATTGTAACTTCACTGCGCAAGTACCGATGTCTCATCCGGGCATCCGTTTCTTCAAATGCTAAGAGGAAGCGGAGAAGCCGATTAAAAACACATAGATCTAGGAGAGTTTCAATGTTTATAAAATCGGTTAAAAAAACCCTGCATGAATGTGTTTACGGATTAACGTTTTCGTTTGATTTAATTCAATTAGGATTATTTAAATAATTTTACACTTGTAAAAAGTCAAACTGTGTACCAATTCTCCGAAAATGGGTTGTGTATCCAGCCAAGAGGACAAAGCTGCAGTAGAGAGATCAAAACAAATCGACAAATCGTTGCGTATGGATGGAGAAAAGGCGGCCCGTGAAGTGAAATTACTGCTTCTCGGTAAGTGGTTGTCTTATTTTAATTTTCAGTGAAATACTTTTGATTACCAACGTGATTAACAACCAGTAAGTAAATAATTGTTTGAAATAAGGGGAGAAGAGGTTGCTTGTTGATTGGGAAAGAGGGGTGGGGACTGGTGTGTCAGCTCTAACTCTCCTCTAGCTCTCTAAAGTTTAGACTAAACTAGATTCTATATAGAATCTACTATCTATATCAACATTCAACATAGCTCTATCTTCAAGTATCTTGTATCTACTCTAGATCTAGAGAGTCTAGAGATCCAGATCTAGAGATATCTAGAGGAGCTTACACTTTTCGGACACACATAGCGAAAAAACGCAACGTAAAAATTCCATGCGGTCTCATTCAGTAACCGCTTAACATAGAAAACAAAAAAAAGTAGGGTAAAGGAGGGCGTTAAGAGCCACACTTTTTAGCACCTGTACATTTTTAAAGATTTCTACTAATCTAAGAATTTTTTAGTATTGAAAATATGGCAAAATTATTCTAACATATCTTACACAATATAAAAATAATAACAAAGTGTATTAAATATACTTTAAATGGGTTTAATTGAACATTTATTGTCATACCCCCAAAATCAGCATTTGGGGTGAAAGGAGCCGGGCGATGGGGCAATAAGTATTATCTCCTAGTTTAGACTAACACCGCAATAAAAATAATTAATTTCTAACCCCAAAATAGTTAATGCTGTGTACACACACTTTAACTGATACTAGCTATCACTAGGCCCCAATGGGCCCAGTCTACAATTGATACAATTACAGGTGTACATAGGGCCTAAGCCCTAAAGTCTAGTAGTTTGCAGTAGGCACATTAGTATGCCTAGTGTGTAGCTAGTATACTAGTGTGTAGCTGTCCAGAGTTAACATTCTTGTATGTAAAAAGGGGTGGTACTAACTAATCTGCCTTAATGCTTTCCCCTGATAAGCCATGTGTTACATAACATGACATGGAGGTGAGAAATGTTGAGGGGAGAGCAGTTGTACTGGTTTCCCCTTTGTTCTCCTTGCTGGACCCTGAGGGCCATAAATTACATAAGGAGATGCTATCTCTGGTTGGCTGAGATCTAAGAACTAACTCCATGCTACCTACAAAGAGATAAGTTTTATGGTGGGTTAGATACAGGTGGGGGCTGGGTATCATTGGGGTGAGAAATTGTGAGGGGAGAGCAGTGGTACTGGTTTCACCTTTGTTCTCCTTGCTGGACCCTGAGGGCCATAAATTACATAAGGAGATGCTATCTCTGGTTGGCTGAGATCTAAGAACTAAGTCCATGTTACCTACAAAGAGATGAAGTTTTATGATGGGGTAGGTACAGGTGGGGTCTGGCTTTCATGGAGGTGAGAAAATGTGAGGGGAGAGCAGTGGTACTGATTCCTCTTTTGTCTCCACCCTGCTAGACCATGAAGGTCATATATTACATAACATGCCACCCCAGATTGTCTGAGATCTGTAACTGTAATCCATGTTACCTACAAAGAGATGAAGTTTTATGGTGGGCCAGAAACTGGTGGGGGCTGGGTATCATGGGGGTAAGAAATTGTAAGGGGGGAGCAGTGGTATTAATGTGTCTGTTTACTTCTATGCTGGACCATGAGGGTCATAAATTACATAACATACCACCCCAGATTGGCTGAGACCTAAGAGCATTTATTCCTGTTACCTACAAAGAGATTAGAAGTTTTATGGTTGGTTAGAAACAGGTGGGGGCTGAGTCGGCTGTATTGCCCCTTAGGGGTAATAAGTACATGTACCATTTTAAAAATTACCTTGTTAACATCAGATGGCTGAATTTTTACTTTTTAGCAGGTTAGAATTGTATTTCTATCATTTAGACACAAGTCTGTTTAACAATTAATACATTTTGTGTTAACTATTCCTATACCAGTGTCATATTCAGTGGTCTAATAAATGAGAAACTTGCACTTAGGGTTTCAAGAGCCACATAACAGTATCTGTTATAACTTTTCTAAACAGGCAAGCTAGTGGACAAAATTAATGTATTCATGTAGATTTAGTTATTATCTAACAAATAAAACCATTATGGTAATGATCAGTCAAGTTTTACTCTGATAATGATAAAAACTTTATAGCATGGTAAAATGGGACAACTGTCAGCCATTTTGTTTTGGCACCAATAATTACTGTGCAAAAAAAATTCACCAAAATAAAACTATTCTAGCCATAGCTATAAAAATAGTGTTAAAATGTACAACAACCAATGCTCTAATACAGGAACAAAGAATGGGCTTGAAAAAATCATTTAGTTTATTACAAAGTAAAGTTTCCCAAGTTATGTCTATTTGGAAAAAAAGTTCACAAAATGGTTTTATGGAGATGAGAAATTTTAGGGAAAGAGCAGTGGGATTAAATCCTGTCTCATCCTCTCCCTATTGGACCAAGTGGGTCATAAATTACATAAAATGAATCCTCTGCTTCTCTGTTATCAAAGAACAGCAGTGGTTGTTACCTCAGAAGTAGATTAGCAGTGTTATTGGGGGTTTTGTGGGGGTGGGGTGTTGATTGGGGCTTAATACCACACGGCTCTTAACGCCCTCCTTTACCCTATCATATCTATCCGCAACCATCTATATACTACTAAAAGTCAAGTTTGTTTACATGTTTGAATATTTATTTGTTTGTTTGCCTGATTGACTATTGTGATATGTTCCACTCTATCTGGAAAGCTGTAAAATAGTATGCAGGTAGAGAATAATTTTTTAATGCAGACAAACTGTTGATCACAAATTTATTTAAAGACGTTAATTAATTTATTGATTTATTCATAGTTAAATTAACCGTATTTTTTTAAAAATGTTAATACTTTGAATAAACTTTGTGGGGATAGTGACGTCCCTTGATGTGTTTACATTTTTGGTACAATAAAAATGGCGGACCCCATCATAGACTTTGTGGCCCATTCAAAAGTTTCACGCGTTACAAAGCTAATTTTCTGCCGGCTATAACTTAAACAATACGTCCGTTTGCTGTATTTATTACGTTCCAACACTTATATCAATTTTCAACTGTCTTTTTCATTTAGTTTTACGATAAATTTCTCTAGATCTAAAGATCAGCTGTCGAGAATCTAGCCTGCCCTAGGGCCTAGATTCTAGATCTAGATCTAGATCTAGATCTAGATCTAGGTCACTAGAGTCATAGATCTAGACTTAATGTAAATTCTACATCTAGAATCTATTTCGGGCCTTAATTATTTTTATATAAATCTTTGTTTAGCTTCAATGATCACTAATTCGAGAATACATGGGATTTTTTTGTTATCTAGGTTTTATATCTAGATATAGTAGGATTACTCACTAACTTGGAGGCGTGGTCGGCTGCTAACAACAATATGGCGTACGGACCGGACGAATGACTTCCTACCATTTTTAGGCCATGTTTACCACGAGCAAAATGGCGGGTGTTCACATTATTTAAACATGGTATAGGTGGCCAGGGCTAGATATGCCAGAAAAGCATTTTAAAATTTGCTTTGGAGAATGAAGGCTAAATTTTAAAGCCAGTGTCATAAACATTAATAGAACTTTTTTTTTTTACGTTTTCAATTATTTTTTCTTAAGCCCTATATGTGAATGATAAGGTTGACTATCAGGACCTCGCGGGGCACAGGGCACGTGAAGTAGGGTTCATCTGTTTTTTTGTCCTAAGCAAATGAAGGGATAGTGTGGTCAGAGACATGCTTGGCTGGAATCGTTTTTGTTGTCTGAGACTTGGCGGGACACTGGGCAGGTGAAGTAGAGTTGAGTAGGTCACCTGTGACGTCAATATATGAAGGGATAGTCCGAAATCGTTGTTTTCGGTGTTTTTAAAAGATAAAAAACATATTTTTGAATGTGGGTTCTGTTTTTTGTGACGATAAGTGACACTGCAGTAGCGTAGCGAGGAGGGGGGGGGGGGCGGGAGGGAAGGGGAGGCGGGGGGAGGTGGAGGGGGGGTGGGGGGGGGGGACATGTTGGGGCGCCAAAATGGTTTGGAAAAATAAATTGAAAGGTTGAGGGGGGTTCAAATGGAAAGTTTGAGTGGGGGGGGGGGGTGCACATCAAAAGTTTGAAGGGGGTGGGGGGGGGGTTGAAAATCGAAATCTTGGGGGGGGGTTCAAATCGAAAAGTTTGTCCCCGGGCGCAGGGAAGGGTCGCTATGCCTCTGAGTGACAGACGTGATGTTTTTTGATGGATGACCCCCGAAACCCACAGTTATCCAACGGATGACGGGTATTCTAGTTCTACTTTAATAATGTGTGTGTCATTTTGTATTCATACGCATAGAACTTAAGCTATTCTTGTTATAGTGACTGGGGGTCTTAACGTGTGTTCGAACACATGTAATACAGTTTTACATGTGTTCGGACACCTTTACCCGTCATCGGACATAGCACTTTTTGTTCATTTAGAATAATTTAAAGTCAATTTAATGAATAAAAACATATATTATATGCATTTATATTGTGTTATTGATTGTTTGTGAGGTAATTTTAATAGTATAAAACCTTTTTTTTTTCCCACACTCCCAAAGTTCATCCCATTCAGCCATTGCGGCTCGCGCAGTACGCTGCTAAGCCAGCCAGGTCACATGATTCCCCCTCCTCTTTCGCATTCCACTGCCTTCTTGACCTTATTTTGACCCTTTCCCTTCAATAACCAGCCACTTTTATGCTCTAAATTCTTATTTAATAATATTTTTGTGTTGCTGTCCGCTCCCATGTAAGGCCAAATAAGTTAGCGAACACCCCTTTTTTATTGTTCAAGCACGAAAAAACCCATTAACCTTGACATTTACGATGTTCCATACATATATAGAAGCTATTTATAGTGTAACCTTTTAGCTAAGCATTGATTGGTTTAAGTTTTGCCCCTAAGTCCAACCCTAGGTCACTTCATCCGGCTGGTGTAAAAATAGAAATGTGCGTACCATGCAACGTTAAAAAATTTCTAAAAATAATTCTTGAGAAAGGAAACGGAAGTACTTGACATGGAAGTGTTCATAAATGAACAGTTTACGTGCAGGCGCCGTGGTTTCGCGTGAGACATGCTAATTAAAGTTTCTATGAGCCAAAAACCGACGAAGTGTTCGGTCCTACGTAATTTTTGGTGTGTGTCCGAAAAGTGTAAACTCCTCTACTTGTTTTTAGTTTTTCTTACTAAATCTAAAATTTACGCAATTTTCAATATAAACATGACCACTGAATAATAGACATCCATATTTAATCCATTAGGCACTAATTTTGAAGTTTTTAGTTCATTTTAAACTAAATTACTTAATTTAATATTTATTGACACTCACTGCCATGGCCAACACATCTCTCCATGACAACTCTTCTAACCCTTGATGCTAAGGAAAACCACAAATCAGGTTAGACTTTTTAAGTGGCCATGCACCCAGAGTTCCTCACTAGTGATCTCAAATAGCGGTCACGTGGTTTTTAAAAAATAAAAATAAATTGGTTGTGATATGAGAGCCGATCTTATAAAAAAAGTGCCGACAATATTTGCTTTCTTTTTACATAGACTGATAGACTTAATAATGCTTTACTTATATGATCATTTTTGTACCTACATAGTTGATATTTTTCAAATTCTATTTATTTTAATGAAACCAACTTTTGAATTTAGCCTCCGTTCTCCAAACCAAATTTTAAAATGCTTTTCTGGCATATCTAACCCTGCCACCTATTGTTGTTGTTATGACACGGAAATCCCGCCATTTTGCGCGTGGTAAACATTTTTAAATTTAATTAGTAGAAGGTCTCTGGAATTTGGCCAAAAAATCGCTGGAAGTCATGCGTCCGGTCCGGACGCCATATTGTTGTTAGCAACCGACCACGCCTCCAAGTTAGCGAGTAATACTACACTTGATTCTTGATCTAGCTAGAGTTATCATTAGGGCCTAACAAATAACATTTGAACACCAAATTTGGCAGATAGATCTAGATCTAGAATCTAGGGCCTATATAATTTTTTATTAAATTAGTTAGGCCTATTTCTGGATTTAGAATTAGGACAAACCTTTTCCATTGTTTTGTTATTTTGTGTCTCTAAATTTTAAATCATTTCCTAATCGAACCTATTAGGTCTATAAATTAAAGGGCTGATATAATTCAATTTAAAAGTTAGAAGCAAATTGTGACTAAGACACAGGCACAGGAGCTGAAAAAAAAGTAGGCCTAACTACTTCAGGCCCTTGGCCTAATTAATTACTATAGCATGGTTGAGTTTGATTTATATGATGCATTTTAGTTAAGGCCTTCATAGTAATTTAAAATTTTAATTCATTTACCGTTTTACGCCTACTATTCCTACTAATGCTGCATGTTAGACTCTTAAATTTTAAATATGTATGCTTAGGCCTGTTGTACAGAAACCAATTTAAATAATGGCTTCAGTCTTTACAAAGCTAATTAAAATTTTTTAGTTACATTAAACAAAATCTACTCGTCCAAATACACAAATGAATCAATTAAAACTACCTGTTACTTTTAAAACTGACCTAAATGTCAGTTCACTGATTTTGTCTAATCAGGTCTTTCCAACTTTTCCTTACAAAAGGTTGACTTTGTAAAAACAGAATAGATTGTTAAAGAAGCTCTCCATTAACTATTTGAAGATGTACTTAATTTCTGTGATGTTTACCTAGTAGAGTCCTGTTCAGAATAGGCTTCCATTATGATCAGTCAAAGCAGACTGCTTGCAGTCAAAGCAGACTGATTTGTAAATTATTATGTATTAAAATACACAGATCCAGGTCAACATCAGTTCCACTCACCTGAAAGTCTCAAATCCCTGGGTATAAATCAGTTGACATTATAAATTAGTTGGACATTCCTGTAAGGGCTGAAATTTTCTTCTATGTAGATCAAAATTGTCTAAAAGTGTATCATTTGTACATTGTAATTGAAACTGTATGCATTTGTTAGACGTTTGAACATTGTAATTGAAACAGTATACATTTGTTAGATGACAAAATAACATCACAATCACGGACAAGAAGAGTTTTCATGCAGTTTGCAACACAGTGTCATTGTCACACATTCTTGATGTTCACTCAATTTCGACCATTTAAGAATCACATAAACATATTTTAGATTACTAAAATAAAATTTCCAGTTTTAATAAGTGATATTATTGGATTCATGAATTTAATTAGAGGGCATTACTATAAATTAAATTGATTTCTGAAATGAGGGTCTTACAAAACCTATTGTAGAAGAACTACTTTATGAAGATCTATTAAAACTAACAAAATTTAAAGCGAAATGTCTAGAGCATGCTTGTTTTATTTTTCTTATGATGATAACAAACCTTAATTAAATGTTTTAAAGTAAAATACTGGAGAGAAATTCCAATTATATATCTTTATTAAAAATATAACAAACGAGCCGGCCCGCGTCATAACATACGCCACTATTTAGTTGTTGTTTTTTCTACTTTTCAGTAATTCATAATTTGTGAATTCGACAGTACCAATGCTGACACTGAAAATATTTCTTTAAAACACTAAGTAGCTCGTTAAGGACCATACCCCCCCCCCCCAACGTTTAAAATCGTTTCAAACTAAATTATCTGCCCCTAATTAGCCGTCACTAAACCTGACTCCACGAAGGTAAACATAGCGTGAACCACAGCTCACTAAGACCATGTAGGGGTGGGGATGGTAGGGAGCGCGTTTACAGCTTGTTTTCTAGCGTCTCCCAGAAGAGAATTATATATATAGATTAGTAGAAGTAGTTAATAATTAACCGTAATTGATTTTATAACACAAGTTAAGTTAAAATTAATAACTTGTATCTGACCCTGGCCATATTTAAACCACTGGCATGGAGTCAAGACAAAAATTATTATGGCATAAACATTTAAAATTTGATTAAAGGATTTCAAAATAAATAACTGTTTTATTTTACTATTTTTTTAATACTCATGCTGTAATGTTTGTAATGCCTAATACCAGGTATGGTCCCATTGGTTTATTGCTTATGAAATCCAATGATACAGGATGCACCCAAGTAATTACTAGATAAACAAAAGTAGGGAAACGTCCCAGCGCAACTGTATTGAGTGATACCACAAGTTTATTGGACTAGGTTAATGTTCTTGTTTTAAAACACCCATATTATTCAATCCTACATTGGCTCACAATATTTGTCTTGCACTTTTTTATTTCCCTCATTTAAATAGATGTATTGAAATGAGATCTTTTTGAATAATCAGCTGTAGTTAATAATGATACTTACTGTACCTGCTGCCTAATGAGTAATGCTACTTAATTATGTGTAATGTGCCATGTTTTATTTTGTTTTGGTTTAGAATGTTTATTTTTTATTTTACTTGACTTTTAGGGGCTGGTGAGTCTGGAAAAAGTACCATTGTAAAACAGATGAAGTAAGTGGAACTATTACTTGTGTTAGCTCATTAAACCTACTCTAGATTGTACAAGTGTATTTTCAATCCACTTGACAGTTGACTGATGCATCTTTACGCCTAAGGCCAGTCTAAAGGGAGGACAGGCTCATCTATCATTAAAGCTAGCCCTGGTATTAAACTTTGATGGCCATCTTCTTACCCCAGTTCTTTTGTCCAGCTTTGGCATCATTTTCATGTTTGGTTCAAACGATGGGGGCAGTTAAACAGACATTACCTCTGTGTTGGTCCAATTGTTGGCTGCCTTTATTTTTTACATTGGTAAATATTAAGACAACACAAAACTAAAGTCTGCATAGATTTAGTTTTTAGGCAAGATGATAAAGGAATTATGGTTTTCCAGCATTGATTAGTTTTTAGACATATTGTATGAGGATAGTGGTGTTTAGCATTGATTAGTTTTTAGATATTGTATGAGGATAGTGGTGTTCAACATTGATTAGTTTTTAGATATTGTATGAGGATAGTGGTGTTCAGCATTGATTAGTTTTTTGACATATTGTATGAGGATAGTGGTGTTCAACATTGATTAGTTTTTAGATATTGTATGAGGATAGTGGTGTTCAGCATTGATTAGTTTTTTGACATATTGTATGAGGATAGTGGTGTTCAGCATTGATTAGTTTTTAGATATTGTATGAGGATAGTGGTGTTCAGCATTGATTAGTTTTTAGATATTGTATGAGGATAGTGGTGTTCAACATTGATTGATACCAGCTGGTTTATTAGGATATGTCATTCCATTATTAATTTAAAGAGGACTATTTTTCATACTCTGCACTCTTTATTTAGTCATAGGAAGACAACCACTCACAGCTGTCCATATTTATTTAGTCATAGTAAGACAACTAACAGCTGTCATAGTAAGACAAAACTAACAGCTGTTATAATAAGACAACTCACAGCTGTCATAGTAAGACAACTCACAGCCGTCATAGTAAGACAACTCACAGCTGTCATAGTAAGACAACTCACAGCTGTCATAGTAAGACAACTCACAGCTGTCATAGTAAGACAACTCACAGCTGTCATAGTAAGACAACTCACAGCTGTCATAGTAAGACAACTCACAGCTGTCATAGTAAGACAACTCACAGCTGTCATAGTAAGACAACTCACAGCTGTCATAGTAAGACAACTCACAGCTGTCATAGTAAGACAACTCACAGCTGTCATAGTAAGACAACTCACAGCTGTCATAGTAAGACAACTCACAGCTGTCATAGTAAGACAACTCACAGCTGTCATAGTAAGACAACTCACAGCTGTCATAGTAAGACAACTCACAGCTGTCATAGTAAGACAACTCACAGCTGTCATAGTAAGACAACTCACAGCTGTCATAGTAAGACAACTCACAGCTGTCATAGTAAGACAACTCACAGCTGTCATAGTAAGACAACTCACAGCTGTCATAGTAAGACAACTCACAGCTGTCATAGTAAGACAACTCACAGCTGTCATAGTAAGACAACTCACAGCTGTCATAGTAAGACAACTCACAGCTGTCATAGTAAGACAACTCACAGCTGTCATAGTAAGACAACTAACAGCTGTCATAGTAAGACAACTCACAGCTGTCATAGTAAGACAACTCACAGCTGTCCATATTTGCCATTTGCTGAGGCTATTGAACCATTATCAACTGATTATCATTTCAAGCTATTCGCTATTTGTATTGAAATAATATCTCATTTCTCCTTCCCCAGAATTATACATGAAAAAGGCTATTCACAAGAAGAATGTTTGCAATACAAACCTGTTGTGTATAGCAATGCAATACAGTCTATGATTGCTATCATTAAAGCTATGGGACAACTGAAAATTCAGTTTGGGCATCATGACAGAGCTGTAAGTTTTGTTTTTGTTTGATTAAGTTTCAGCTCCCAACCTGAGAATGGGCTGTAGCATTGGTTTGCTTGTTAGCTGGTGTACTGCATGTGTTAGTTTCAGATTTTCTCCCAACCTGAGAGTGGGCATTGGTTTGGTTCTTAACTGGTGTGCTGCTAAGTATGTCAAGAAAATGAGCAGTCAAGTGTTGCATGTGTTAGCTAGTCTAGTGGTGCTTGACAATGACATTATTTCATTGTAATGTTGAAGCCATTGTTGATTGTTGTTATTGGAACTTTGCTTTATGAGTTTAGTACAAGTCTTTTTATTTCAGTTTGTTTATTTCTTGAGTTCAACTGTAATGTTTGTATACAATTTGCACTATGATCACTTGCTAACATTCTGTTGTAACATCTTTAGATAGTGTAAGCTTAGTTGGTTCTGTCTCTTGCTTTAGTTTTCTAAGTTTTGCAGTAAAACTTGACTGACCACATGCATGTAACACTTGACTGACTGCATGCAGTGTGTAACACTTGACTGACCACATGCAGCGTGTAACACTTGACTGACCACATGCAGCGTGTAACACTTGACTGACCACATGCAGCGTGTAACACTTGACTGACCACATGCAGTGTGTAACACTTGACTGACTGCATGCAGCGTGTAACACTTGACTGACCACATGCAGTGTGTAACACTTGACTGACTGCATGCAGCGTGTAACACTTGACTGACCACATGCAGAGTGTAACACTTGACTGACCACATGCAGTGTGTAACACTTGACTGACCACATGCAGCGTGTAACACTTGACTGACCACATGCAGTGTGTAACACTTGACTGACTGCACTATGATCACTTGCTAACATTCTGTTGTAACATCTTTAGATAGTGTAAGCTTAGTTGGTTCTGTCTCTTGCTTTAGTTTTCTAAGTTTTGCAGTAAAACTTGACTGACCACATGCATGTAACACTTGACTGACTGCATGCAGTGTGTAACACTTGACTGACCACATGCAGCGTGTAACACTTGACTGACCACATGCAGCGTGTAACACTTGACTGACCACATGCATGTAACACTTGACTGACCACATGCAGCGTGTAACACTTGATTGACCACATGCAGTGTGTAACACTTGACTGACTGCATGCAGCGTGTAACACTTGACTGACCACATGCAGTGTGTAACACTTGACTGACTGCATGCAGCGTGTAACACTTGACTGACCACATGCAGAGTGTAACACTTGACTGACCACATGCAGTGTGTAACACTTGACTGACCACATGCAGCGTGTAACACTTGACTGACCACATGCAGTGTGTAACACTTGACTGACTGCATGCAGCGTGTAACACTTGACTGACCACATGCAGCGTGTAACACTTGACTGACCACATGCAGCATGTAACACTTGACTGACCACATGCAGCATGTAACACTTGACTGACCACATTTAACACTTGACTGACCACATGCAGCGTGTAACACTTGACTGACCACATGCAGTGTGTAACACTTGACTGACCACATGCAGCGTGTAACACTTGACTGACCACATGCAGCGTGTAACACTTGACTGACCACATGCAGTGTGTAACACTTGACTGACCACATGCAGCGTGTAACACTTGACTGACCACATGCAGTGTATAACACCTGAAGCACCTTTTGATGTTGTGCTCAGTTCTTTCATCCTCTTTATTCATGTTCTTGTTTCTTTTTAAAGACTTTAATGATACCCTGAGGTAATGTTGAAATATAGGCAAAAATAGGGGTGTTTTTTTTTTAATGTACTGCACATTTAGATTTCTATTTCCATTTGTTGAAGGTTGGTCAAAATTTTAAACATTTTCAAAATATTTTTTTGCTTGCTTTAGATTGTCACCTTGTTATTACATTTTGAAAGTTGGATGAAAAAATCCAATGTAACTAGGTCCCGTATTGAATGCCTGTATCCCAGCCATATCTGACCTAACTAGGTCCTGTATTGAATGCCTGTATCCCAGCCATATCTGACCTAACTAGGTCCTGTATTGAATGCCTGTATCCCAGCCATATCTGACCTAACTAGGTCCTGTATTGAATGCCTGTATCCCAGCCATATCTGACCTAACTAGGTCCTGTATTGAATGCCTGTATCCCAGCCATATCTGACCTAACTAGGTCCTGTATTGAATGCCTGTATCCCAGCCATATCTGACCTAACTAGGTCCTGTATTGAATGCCTGTATCCCAGCCATATCTGACCTAACTAGGTCCCGTATTGAATGCCTGTAACCCAGCTATATCATATGAAAACCCTGACTATTACAGATTGAAATTTTTAACTATGAAAACCCTGACTATTCTCTCCAACTGCTGGTGCTGGTAAATCACATCTAAACTAAATTGCTTTATGAAAGAAACGAAGGGGCGGGTGAGCTTACCCAAAATCCCAAGTTCAGAACCCCCGGGCAGATATGGCTCATTAGCTGGGTATATGAATCCAACCAGGAGAGAAAACTCTCTGCCTTGCCGATTAGTGTGAGATGGAAGCACTTATATAAGGAAAAGCAGGCAGAAGTCTGAGCACATGCATGGGCCATTTATAGCGCATAGCATGTTGACTCAAAATGCTCAGTTGTGTTGGAAGAAATTCCTTCCAATATAACAATTAAGAAGAGAGAAGAAAAAGCTATTGAAGACTACTAGCTTGGGAGTAAATGACAGCTAATGATTGGTTAAAGTAGTATGTAACCTTTGCATGCTGGTAAACTTGAGGTGTATCTCATTTCACACTGACAGAGTGAGTTCTGGCAGCCTCTTCTACAACCTGTTGTGCAAACCTTTTCTCAAGCAGCCCACTTGGTCCCAATTTTTTACTTAACAAAGGTGACAGCTATTTCAACTCTTTTTCGTTCTATAAACACAGTTTTTTAAGCACACCAACCATCATTTTCTTGTTCTTAACAAAAAATTAACAAGAAGCAGCAAGTGGTGACTAAAAGTAATGCTAATAATATAATTTTAAACACTTTTATGAAAAAGGTTTCTGCTCTTAATGTTACTTTACAAGCTGGAGTACCTTTTCAGAGAGTATATTACCACAGCCTAATAATTTTCTACACTTACACATCATTTATTGTTATATAGTGTATATTGTAAGTTTTTAAAGAACTATTTTTGTTGTCCACTTCCACATCAATAGAGGGGGAAGACAGACTAAAATACAGATTTATTTGTAGACGTCTTAAATAGATGACCCTATACAACACATGTATGTAGTAGGTATTTGCCCATTTTAAACATGAAATATTCTTAAGAAAACACTAAGAAAACATTTGTTTTAGCAAAGAGGCTTAAAATGTCAAATAAATTAACTACCCATTGACACAACAAAATGTAAATATATAGTAGAGCTACACAACCATCAGCTTTTCTGTATATCTTATTGTTTGCAATCTAATGGTACAATTGTACCAGGAGTTCCTATTTTTTTAGTTTTAGTGGTATAAAAAATTGTAAAATTGTAGCATTAGATGGTGGCATTAAAGGATTTCTTTCTAGTTTTATTTCAAACAAAATAGATGGTGATGGCAGGAGAAAATGAGCGAGACATGCTCTTGTTCTTTTGGGAGATTCCTATATTTCTTTAAAGACATCATGCATCTGTTTAAAAGATATATTCTTTATTTAGTTTATACACGTTTATATTCTGATTTTAGAGTACTTACCTGTGTGATGTTGTTGTCTGATGGTGTATGTTGGTCTGTGTGATGTATTTTTCTGATGGTGTATTGTATGTTGGTCTGTGTGATGTATTTGTCTAATGGTGTTTGTGTGATGTATTTGTCTGATGGTATATGTTGGTGTGTGTGATGTATTTGTCTGATGGTGTATTGTATGTTGGTCTGTGTGATGTATTTGTCTGATGGTGTATGTTGGTCTGTGTGATGTATTTGTCTGATGGTGTATGTTGGTGTGTGTGATGTAGCTGTCTGATGGTGTATGTTGGTGTGTGTGATGTATTTGTCTGATGGTGTATTGTATGTTGGTCTGTGTGATGTAGCTGTCTGATGGTGTATGTTGGTCTGTGTGATGTAGCTGTCTGGTGTATGTTGGTCTGTGTGATGTAGTTGTCTGATGGTGTATGTTGGTCTGTGTGATGTAGTTGTCTGATGGTGTATGTTGGTCTGTGTGATGTAGTTGTCTGATGGTGTATGTTGGTCTGTGTGATGTAGCTGTCTGATGGTGTATGTTGGTGTGTGTGATGTATTTGTCTGATGGTGTATTGTATGTTGGTCTGTGTGATGTAGCTGTCTGATGGTGTATGTTGGTCAGTGTGATGTATTTGTCTGATGGTGTATGTTGGTCTGTGTGATGTAGCTGTCTGGTGTATGTTGGTCTGTGTGATGTAGTTGTCTGATGGTGTATGTTGGTCTGTGTGATGTAGCTGTCTGGTGTATGTTGGTCTGTGTGATGTTGTTGTCTGGTGGTGTATGTTGGTCTGTGTGATGTAGCTGTCTGGTGGTGTATGTTGGTCTGTGTGATGTAGTTGTCTGATGTTGTATGTTGGTCTGTGTGATGTAGCTGTCTGGTGTATGTTGGTCTGTGTAATGTAGCTGTCTGATGGTGTTTGTGTGATGTATTTGTCTGATGGTGTATGTTGGTGTGTGTGATGTATTTGTCTGATGGTGTATTGTATGTTGGTCTGTGTGATGTTGTTGTCTGGTGGTGTATGTTGGTCTGTGTGATGTAGCTGTCTGATGGTGTATGTTGGTCTGTGTGATGTAGCTGTCTGATGGTGTATGTTGGTCTGTGTGATGTAGTTGTCTGATGTTGTATGTTGGTCTGTGTGATGTAGCTGTCTGGTGTATGTTGGTCTGTGTGATGTAGCTGTCTGATGGTGTTTGTGTGATGTATTTGTCTGATGGTGTATGTTGGTCTGTGTGATGTATTTGTCTGATGGTGTATGTTGGTCTGTGTGATGTAGTTGTATGATGATGTATGTTGGGTGAACTGTTCTGTTG